CGTGCTGGCGGACAGGGCGAAAAGAAGAGGGGGCCTGCACCTCTGGGTGCGCCGGCGAGAAGGGCAGGCGCCAGGAGGAGGGGGCTCACGCACACGAGGGCCCGAGGCAGGCGTGCGGACGAGGGGGGGGGGGCCACGGGGCGCGCTGAAAGAATTGGACTGGCGAAAGGAGGAGGAGCAGGAAAGGAGGAGGAGCAGGAGGAGGAGGAGGAGGAGCAGGAGGAGGAGGAGGAGCAGGAGGAGAGGAGGAGGAGGAGGAGGAGGAGGAGGAGGAGGAGTGAAAGGGCCCCAGGACACACAAATAAATACACACAAATAAAAATATTCCCCTATATTTCACTGTATTTTCTGGGTTTTTGTCTTCCCCCCCACTTCCCATATTTTCCAATATTTTCTAGGGAATCGACGATTAATTGTGTCTGTGTGTTTTTCCCCCTCCTGAAGGAGGAGGAGGAGGAGCAGGAGGAGGAGGAGGCGGAGGAAGGAGGAGGCGGAGGGGGAGGAGGAGGGGGAGGCGGAGGAGGAGGAGGAGGGAGGAGGAGGAGGAGGAGGAGGAGGAGGAAGAGGAGGAGGAGGAGGAGGAGAAGGAGGAGGAGTAGGAGGAGGAGGATGGGAGGCAGGAGGAGGAGGAGGAGGAGGAGGAGGAGGCGGAGGAGGAGGAGGAGGAGGAGGAGGAGGGGGAGCGGAGGAGGAGGGAGGAGGAGGGGAGGAGGAGGAGGAGGAAGAGCAGGAGCGAGAAGGAGGAGGGAGGAGGAGGAGAGGAGGAGGAGGAGGAGGGGGAGGAGGAGGAGGAGGAGGAGGAGGAGGAGGTAGGATGGAGGAGGAGGAGGAGGAGGGGGAGGGGAGCAGGTAGGAGGAGGAGGGGAGAGGAGGAGGGAGGAGGGGAGCAGGAGAAGGAGGAGGAGGTGGAGGAGGAGCAGGAGGAGGAGGAGGAGGAGGAGGAGGAGCAGGAGGAGCAGGAGGAGGAGGAGGAGAGGAGGAGAGGAGGAGGGGAGGAGGAGGAGGAGGAGGAGGAGGAGGAGGAGGAGGAGGAGGAGGAGGAGGAGGAGGAGGAGGAGGAGGAGGAGGAGGAGGAGGAGCATGAGGGAGGGACGACGGTTTGCGGATTGAAAACGAGGACCCAACACCACTGGGTGGTTGGGAAACAGAATGGGGCCATGAAATCTTGGAGATGCCATGGCCCCGGCCATGATCTGATCCGCCCCCCTCATCCGCCGGCCCCAGCCATGATCTGACCGGCCCCACTAATCCCCCACTCCCCTCTCGAGCGCCCCCGAGACGAGGAGAGAGGGAGGGAGACACGGTTTCGCTGGCTCTCAGGCAATAGTTCGGGCCTCAGGTGGCCGTTCGGGACGATCCCTCCTCTCTCAGAGCCCCCTCGACCAGGCGCAGACGATGTAATTACCCCCGCCGCCCCCGTCCCTGGGGCTTCGATGTCTTGAGGAAAACTTGGGGGACTTGCGAACAAATCGGCTGGACACAGCCCAAAGTCAAAAGGGGAACCTCAGGAAATCTGCGAGTCTCATGTCGTTCAACCACTTCGACCTGAGCAGGTCGTAGATCTGCCCGCTTCCGACCTCAGCAGGCCGTGCGGCGGGAACGTCCGAAAACTCCGGGAACCTTCGGGAACCCCCAGGCCGCTCGCAACGCGCGCGCCGCCCTTCACTCGCGCGCGGGGGCGCCGAGCAGCTCCCAGGCGAGGCCCCGCGAGCTCCCGGGCAGGCCCCGCGGGCTCGCGCAAGCGAGGGCCGGCGCGCGGGGGCGCCGGGCAGCTCCCAGGCGAGGCCCCGCGAGCTCCCGGGCAGGCCCCGCGGGCGCGCGATGAGCGCGGGCCAGAAGCGCGGCAGCCGAGCGCCGCAGCCGTGCGCGCGCGCGTGCGAGCAGGGCCGCGCCTGGCCGTGCGCGCGCGCTCCTGTTTGTGTTTTTTGTTTTGTTTTATTTTTTTTGTTTTTGGTTTTTGTTATATATATATATATAGAGAACGAAGCAGAAAAACTGCAAAGGGAAGAGGGATAGGGGCGACCGATGAGCGAATTGGCCGGCGTGCAGGAGGGGAGGGACAAGACAGACAGGGCGGCCGCGGAGGACGGGAGGGGGCAGAGGGCACTCAGACGCGGAAGTCTTCCGTGTCGAGTGGGCCGGCGCACGCCTTGGGGGAACACGAACGGCATCAATGACACGCCGCCGTGGCGTCACTTCGGAGAGGAAGCCCCACGCTCTCAGACAGCTGCGACAGAACAGCGCGCTCAATGGGGGCCCCCACGGCGGCGTGCCATTGCTGTGCAATCGCTTCCCCCCCCCGAACCCCACAGGACCTCTTCAAGTCTCAGCCGCTCAGCCGCCTGCTATCCGCCGGTGACGCTCTCTTTTTCCAATCCGCGGCCCCAGGAGGTCCCGACCGCTTCCCCGGGCGTCTGCCTTCTACCAGGACACCAGGACCAACTCCAGATGGCCCCGGGACCCTACCACGGGCCCCAGTGCCGAAATACAAAATAATCATCAGGCTGAAAAACAACAGAACATACATCACCCTGACAGCAGCCAAGCTGACGAGGCGGGTCGAAGTGTAGGAGGTCGAATATATGGGACACGGGTGGGAGCACAGCCATGTCCAGCGTGGGATCATGTTTAAAGCATCGTGGCCGCCCAGACCAAACAGTTTCTTCTTCAGACAACGAGATGCCAATGTTACCGACTGCGATCCAGCTTCCTCAAGAGGCGTATGCTTGAGGTGACCCAACTGCGCTGGGGAAAGCACCGAACGGATTCTTTTTCCTCAGCACTGGGCAAATTACTGGTGCACGATTCGGGCCAAACATGGAGGCGAGAGCACGATTCCGGATGAATCGTGAGGAAGTCTCAGGCGAACCGGCTGCCAGACTGGTCGATCTCGGGGGGCGGGCCCGGGCGGTCCGCCCCCCACTGTGGGATTCGTCTGCTGTGATGAACCGTTGTTTACGTCTGCGCAGAAGCCTCTGGCCAAACGCTGGCCTGAGATCCGACGTCCTCAATCAGCTGCAACAAAAGACACGACCGGAGCCCTGGACCCCATCCTTCGGCGCGACTCTTCTTCGAGCCGGATCGATCGAACACGGGGGGCCGGCGCACGGCGCGAAGAAGATGCAGCGCCAGGCGCCAGAACCCCTCCTCCTCCTCCTCCTCCCCTCCTCCTCCTCCTCCATCCTCCTCCTCCTCCTCCCTCCTCCTCCTCCCTCCTCCCTCCTCCTCCCTCCTCCCTCCTCCTCCTCCTCCTCCTCCTCCTCCTCCTCCTCCTCCTCCTCCTAATTTTTGAGTCGGCGGCGAGCCCTGGGGAAGCGAGAAGGGGCGGACCCTCTCAGAAGGCGCGGAAGTCCCCCTGGCCTCCCGAGAAGGCTTCGAGGCCTCCTCGGACGACGCAGGCCACCTCTCAGCAGGCGCAAGTGCCTCTCCCGCCGCCTTCTGAAAAGGCCTTCTCCTTCCCACGTCCCTGAGATCCGACGCAGCGAAAAAATGGCAACATCGTTAAAAATCACGTCGGGAGCCCTGGACACCATCTGCCTGCGTCATTGTTCGAGCTGGGTCCATCTGCGAGGGTCCTGGGGCGCGAAAAAGGGGCGAAGACGCCGGGCTCGAACAAATTGAGGCGCCAGGATCTCAGGGTTCCCCCGGGCCCCCTCGCTGGCCGCCGAATCGAAGAATCACACCGTCGGAGATCTGGGCTCATGGAGGAGCCATATCGTCTCAAATCTGCGCTGCCGCGGCCGCCCCCTGCGCCGCCCGGGCGTGTCCCGGGTGCCTCGGGCAGCGGTGGGTGTGGACGCCTGCCCCGCCCAACCGGGAGGGCAGGACACACACACACACACACACACACACACACACACACGCACACGCACACGCACACGCACACGCACACGCACACGCACACGCACACGCACACGCACACGCCACACGCACACGCACACGAACACGCACACGCACACGCACACACACACACACACACACGCACACGCACACGCACACACACACCACACACACACACACAACCACACACACACACACACACACACACACACACACACACACACACACACACACACACACACACACGCACATACATACACACAAGCACACAATACACACCACATACATACGATACACAATATACAACACACAGCACACACACACACACAACACACACACACACACACACGCGCGCGGACAAGCCCCACTGTCACAAATTATACTCCGCACCATCGACCCCGCCACGGGCCAGTGTCCACGTCCACTGCTCCTCGGGATCCCGTGGCACGACCCCGAAGCGGTGGACATGGACAGATTCTGGCTTTGGAGCCCCCGGGCCCCCAAGACGCTGCAAAAAGCTCCGAAACGGCCCCCAAGAGGCCTCAAGACTGCCTCCGCGAGGCCCCCGAGAGGCCTCCCGCGACATCCCCACGAACATCCCAGAGGCCTATGACCCACAACAAAGGCACGGTGGCGGGATGGGCCGAAGGCCATGAGCTCTGGCCGTGGGAGCCCCCGATGATGGACCGATTTTTCACCACCACTACCATAGGTATGAGAGAGAGAGGAGGAGGAGGAGGAGGAGGAGGAGGAGGAGGAGGAGGAGGAGGAGGAGGAGGAGGAGGAGGAGGAGGAGGAGGATGAGGATGAGGATGATGATGAGGAGGAGGAGGAGGAGGAGAAGCAGGAGGAGGAAGAGGACGACGAGGAGGAGGACGACGAGGAGGAGTAGGACGAGGACGAGGACGAGGAGGAGGAGGAGGAGAAGATCCTCCATTCTCCCCCGCCCTACCTATGGCAGTGGTGGCGGAGACTGGGGGGTGACCTAAATGGATGGTGAAGGGAAGGGCCCTAAAGGGGCCCCTTTTAAAGGCCTCTTTTGGAGCCAGCAGGGGCTCCTTAAGGCTCTCCTCTTCGCCCCCACTTTAAGAGTTGCCCCCCATGTAAGTCCCTACCCATGGCAGCGGTAGTGGAAAGTCGGCCCACCACCCCAATCGCGCCTGCGCCCGCAGCAGCTCCTCCTCCGCCAGGGCCTCCGCGCGGCCCTGGTGCAGCCGCTCCTCGAGGTCCGCGCGCTCCTCCCTCAGCGCCTCGACGCGCCGGCCCGCCGACCGGGCCTCCTCGCTGTAGCGCGCGGCGGCATTCTCCTTGGGGCGACGACGACGACGACGCAGACCTGCTCCTCCTCCTCCTCCTCCTCCTCCTCCTCCTCCTCCTCCTCCTCCTCCTGGCGTTGCTAGAAGTGGCCCTGGGCCAGGGTGGCCCCAGCTCTGCCGGGGAGGCGCAGACGGCTTTCAGAGCACCCCTGGGTGCCCAGAAGGCCCCAGATAGGATAGGCCCCAACACGGTGCGACGAGCTAGGAGCGCCTTGGGCCAGGACCACGTCTAGCAACACCCGAGCCGTGCACCCGACCGGCTCGATCCCAGACCTCCTGCCGCGACAAAGATCACGGCGGGAAGGTTTTGGACATTCTCAGTCCTCCGAGAGGCTCCTCGCCACCACGGCCAGATCCGCCTCGAAAAAACCATGTCAGGAGAGGCCCCGCGAGGGGCCCGGGGACAGACACTGAGCGGACCTGGGCCGAAAACGCGGCGCGCAGCTTTCGGCCGCGCTCGGCCTCGGGGGGCCCTCGCTGGGCCCGAGGACCGCGAAGAATCAACTGAGGGCGATAAGCGGGCCCCTGGGTCATCAAGACATAATCCATCAACTGCTCATAACCAAGCGAACTCTTCTCCGAATCCCTCCTGCTGCAGAGGACATGGACAACTCTACAAGCAGCGCTCCGGACCCCCCTGGAGAAACCCTGCACGAGAGGCGAGACCCGGGACCGGGGACCCGGGAAGCGCGGGGGAAGCCGCGAGAGCGGGGACCCGGGCCCGCCGCCGGGACCCGCGAGTCCCGGGGCCAGAGGACCCGAACCGCCGGGACTGGTGCCTGCAGGAGCTGGCACCGTGGCCGCGCGAACCCGGGACACCCATGGACCTGCAGGCGCCGGCCCCCCAAACTCTTCAGCATGACCCAGAACCCTGGACCCGGGACCCCGGGTTGCAGCCGGGACTGGGACCCGAGACCCGGGACCCGGGTCTGGTGCCGCCGGGACCCCGTAGCCGCCAGGACCTGCACAGAGTTGCTCTACTTGACTGGTCAACAAGTTCACTAGTGAATGCAGTTGTTTATGGGCAGAAAAATCATCGTGTGTCTTATCATTGTCTTTGTCATCGCGCCGCGCTGGCCTTAGCGACGGGGTTTTCGATTGCGGGTTTACTGGAACCAAGTATCCTGAAGTACCTCGTATCAGAAGACAAACGCGGAAACTGACGGGTAGAGGAGAAGCAATAAAGCATTGATCTATATCTTTATATACCGCATAGACCACCCTTCGGGTGATAAGGATGCGAGGGGGGCGGAGGGGGGGACCACCGTCGCACTCGATCGATCTCACTATCGATCTCGCTATCGATCTCACTATCGATCTCATTCGATCAATCTCACAATCGATCTGGCTATCGATCTCACACTCGATCTCACTAACGATCTCACTATCGATATCACAATCGATCTCACAATAGATCTCACAATCGATCTGGCTATCGATCTCACGATCGATCTCACATTCGGTCTCACGATCGATCTCACTACCGATATCACTATCGATCTCATTCGATCGATCTCACAATCGATCTCACAATCGATCTCACATTCGGTCTCACTATCGATCTCACTATCAATATCACAATCGATCTCGCTATCGATCTCACAATCGATCTGACTATCGATCTCACTATCGAACTCACTATCGAAGTCATGATCGACCTCTCGTTCGATCTCACTATCGATCTCACTATCGATATCACAATCAATATCACAATCGATCTCACATTCGGTCTCACTATCGATCACTATCGAACTCACTATCGATATCACATTGGGTCTCACTATCGACCTCACTATCGATATCACAATCGATCTCACAATCGATCTCACATTCGGTCTCACTACCGAACTCACCATCATCACCACCATCATCATCACCATCATCATCATCGTTGTCAACATCATCATCATCATCATCATCATCGTCATCATCATCATCATCACCGACGGGACACCGACGGGACACCGGCGGGACACCGCGGGGCCCCGGCCGCCCGGAAGGGAGACATTTGGTCCGGCCGCGCCTCAGCCACACGGGACACCAGCGGGACACCGGCGGGACACCGCGGGGCCCCGGCCGCCCGGAAGGGAGACATTTGGTCCGGCCGCGCCTCAGCCACAGGAGACTTTCTTCTCGCCCGCCCACGCAGCTTCGCCTCGCCCGCACGCACGGCACGCACGAACACGAAACCGAAATCGATTTCCCGGTAGGGGGGCTCTCCGTTCCACTTCGATCTCACCCCCTCACCTCCGATACATACATACATATAGAGAGAACAATCCAACAAGAGAGGATGGAGGGAGAGTGAGAACAAAGAACAAAGAAAAAGAGGAAACAAAAGAAGAGGGACAACAAAGAACAGCCAGCAAACCAAGAACAGATGCGGTCCAATCCAGATATGAGGCTTTCCTGGAAGCACGATGGGCTCCATGAAAAAGCCTGGTTTCCTCAAAATCTCTGATGGGTGCATGGCGGATCCGAGGCCATGGTGGTCGGGTACACTGTTGGCGTCGCCCCGTCTCCTGCCTCGCGGACTCCAGCTCCCTCTCGCGCGCCCGCGCCTCGTCGGCCACGCGCGAGGGCAACCCGATCCTCGATCCCTCGTCGATCCTCTCGATCGGTCGGGGCCCCGATCCTCGACCGATCCTCGATCCTCGATCGGCGACGATCAATCCTCGATCCTCGATCGATCCCCGATCCTCGATCCTCGATCCTCGATCGATCCTCGATCCTGGCCCCCTCCCCAGCCCCGAGATCTGGCGCCGCGAGAGAGCCGCAGCCTCGCGCCGAGAGCACGGCCGCAGCCCTGCACCCCGACTCACTCTGGCCGAATCTTTCCGACCTGGAAACGTGTCGGAAGTGCACCCCAAACGATGCGAGCAAGGAAATGTGCGGAGGCGGAGGAGGAGGAGGAGGAGGAGGAGGAGGAGGAGTAAATAGGAGGAGGATGGGGCATCTTGGGAGCCTCTCGGGGCACTCTCGGGGCCTCCTGGGAGCTTCCTGGGATCAGCAGGGCGGAGCTTCCCGCGAGGGCATGGTGGAAACAGCGACGGCAGAGCAGGGCGGTGAGTCAGACACCAGAGGAGCCTGAACAGCACGGTGGAAATTTCCGCCATGCTTCCAAAATCGCCCAAGAACTATGGCGGATCCGAAGTGAGCATGGACCCCATGTGTGAAAAGTTGCGGCGCCAAGGGGGGTGGGTCCCACGTGGCTTTCGGGGCACAAGCTCGGGTCCCTGGAGGCCGTTCGGCACGATCCCGGCACCCCAGGAACGCCCTCGTCGGCGAGGCGCAGCTGCTGGAGCGCATCCCGAGGCAAGAACCCCCCTGTGTGCAGGAACCGACGACAACGTCCCGAAACCCTGAGACCCAACGTCCTGTTCTTCCCAATACGGAATCCACGGACGTACCAACCCTTTCCTCGAGGCCGGCGAATCATCACAAGTCGACTTCTGACGGACCCCCGGGGCCAGGAGGAGGAGGAGAAAAAGAAGGTGGAAAAACGAACGAACGAACGAACGAACGAACAAACGAACCCTATGGTACGTGTCTGAGTTTGCTGTCTAGTGGTGGTGGTGGTGGTGGTGGTGGTGGTGGTGGTGGTGGTGGTTGTTGGTGGTGGTGAGGAGGAGGAGGAGGAGGAAGAGGAACGAACGAACGAACGACCGAACCCTATGCAAGAGGAACAAGCGAATGAACCCTATGGTGCGTGCCTGAGTTTGCTGTCTCGTGGTGGTGGTGGTGGTGGTTGGTGGTGGTGGTGGTGATGGTGGTGGTGGTGAGGGAGAAGAAGGAGGAGGATGAGGAACGAACGAACGAACCCTATGGAAGAAGAAGAACGAACGAACCATATGGTGGTGGTGGTGGTGGTTGTTGGTGGTGAGGACGAGGAGGAACAGGAGGAGGAAAAGGAGGAGGAGGAAGATGTCGGGCCCCCCCCGTTTGCATTTTGCAATGCGCAAGACGTTCAGGCAGCGGGCCGCTGTGGCGAAGGGGGGCCGCTCCCACCGACGACGCCGTCGTCGACGACAAGGAAAACGTTGGACGCACTCCTTCCTCCCCGCCCTCCTCCTCCTCCTCCTCCTCCCCTCCCTCCCTTGGATTCCCCCTCCCTCCCTTCGAATCCCCCTCCTCATCTTCCTCCTCCTCCTCGTTTTTTTCATCATCCTCTCCTCTTCCTCCTCTCCTCTTCCTCTCCTGTCTCCTCCTTCGCCTCCTCAACATGTTCCAGTTCATCCTCCTCCTCATTACCACCTCCACCACCACCACCACCACCACCACCATGATCATCATCATCATCATCATCATCATCATCATCATCATCATCATCATCATCATCATCATCATCGTCATCATCGTCATCGTCATCGTCATCATCACCACCACCACCACCACCACCATCATCATCATCATCATCATCATCATCATCATCATCATCATCCTCATCCTCATCCTCATCCTCATCCTCATCATCATCATCATCATCATCATCATCATCATCATCATCATCATCATCATAGTCATCATCATCATCAACAACAACATCATCATTACCACCATCATCACAATCAGCAGCATCACCATCATCACCATCATCACCATCATCATCGTCACCATCATCACCATCACCATCGCCATCACCATCATCAGCATCATCACCACCACCATCCTCATCAGCAGCACCGTCATGATCACCATCATCATCATCATCATCATCGACATCATCATCACTATCATAATCACTAGCATAATCATAATCGTAATCAGCATCATCGCCACCATCATCATCAACGTCAACATCATCGTCATCATCATCACCACCATCATCAGCATCGTCATCATCATCATCATCACCATAATCATAATCATCATCATCATCATCGTCATCATCAGAATTATCATCAGCATTATCATCATAATCAGCACCATCACCGTCACCATCATCAGCACCATCAACACCATCATCCTCATCATCATCAGCATCATCATCGTCATCCCCACTCACTGTTCCCTATTAGCAAACACCCCCTCCCCCAGGCGACCGGAAGCCAACCAAGAACCGTGAGGGCCCCCACCCCACCATCCCTTGTAACAAACCATACAAAACACACTCTGCCTCCAAATTCGGGGCATGCGCAGCCAACCCGATGCGGCCTCCCCCCACCATCCCTGTCAACAACAATGCAAATACACTTGGCGGCGGCGGCTACGGCGGCGGCGGCGGCGGCGGCGGCGGCGGCGGGGGCGGCGGCGGCGGCGGCGGCGGCGGCGGTGGCGGCAGCGGCTGCGGCGGCAGCGGTTGCGGCGGCGGCGATTTGGCAGCGGGGGCGGCGGCGGCGGCGGAGGCGGCGGTGGCGGCGGATGGGCGCCCAGTAGCTGCCCATCCAAGGACGGCTGCTGAATATGCTGAGGCTCGGCCCAGAGTCGGGTGCTACGCATGCGTTGGGAGGGCGGGTGGGAGTGAGCGAGACGGCTTGCGAGCGGGGAGGGAGTCTTGTCCTCATCCCCATCCTCATCCTCATCCTCATCCTGGTCCTGGTCCTGGTCCTCCTCCTTCCTCATCCTGCCCCTCCTCCTCCTCCTCCTCCTCCTCCTCATCATCATCATCATCATCCTTTCGAGGCCCTTTCGGTACAGGGTCTGTAGCGCCGCCGCCGCGGCGCTGCAGCCTCAGGGCGCCTGTTTGTGGGCGCTGTACTTCATGTCCTTCGTCTTTGCGCGCGCCCCTCCCCCCCCCGCTCGGCTCGCGAGCTGAGGGGCGCCCAACCTTCGCTCATTTTGATAGTATTCTCCTTTTGCTGAGCCGCTGCCGACCTGGCTGGTCGGCGGCTCTGCCTCGCTTGTCACGCGAGCCGGCACCTTCCTGGGTGCCTGCCATGGAGCGGGCTGCTCCATCTTCTCCTCTGTCTGGCGGTCCGCCCTTCGGCCCTTCGGCCTCTCTTGGGCTGCGGGCCGCCAGACCTTTGCTTCCTTCCTTTGGCTTGTCCTATCCTCCTGGCAGCCCGCCCGTCGGCCTACTGGCTGCGGGCTGCCCGCCCTCGCGATGCCCTTTTCTTTGCCATCGTAGTTGTCACGGATGTCCTCTTTGCTGGCGACGTTGCCGCTGGCGTCTGGTGGCCCACCCTTCGGCCACTCATGGGCCGCAGGCCCCCAGTCGTTTGAGTCGCTTCTCGCCATGTCGAAGCTTCTGGTAGGTCCTCTTGGCAGCCCGCCCTTCGGCCTTCTGGCTGCGGGCCGCGGTGCAAGTTCATGCCCGCGTTGTCGTTGCAGCGCATTGGACTGCAGATGCTGTGGTCGATTTGCCATTGGGCTTCTTTCTGTCTGGTGCTCCTCAGTCCCGCACGCGTCGAAAGCAATGTCAGCCGCTGGACCCCTCTGCGCACGTGGCGACCTGTTGCCTAGTGGCCGCAGTGGCACACTAGGACTTTGCGTTCTAACGCCTGATTCCAAACCAAGCTTCTGGGCCTACTTGCTCTCTAACACCGTCTAGCATACATGGTGACGTCTCGCCTAGTAGCCTTGATGGCACTCTAGGACTTTGCGCTCTAACGCCTGGTTCCCAACCAAGCTCCATGGCATCCGCGAAGTCCAATTGCGTACTCTGACCCACTTCTGGGGCGACCGACGACGAGCTAAGCCGCGACGGTTCCAGCCCCTCCTCGTTGTGGTCGTCGCTGGAGTAGTCACCGCTGACAATGTCCTCCTCCTGTGTGTGGGTGAGGTACCTGTCGCAGTCGGTGCGCATGTCGGTGGTAGGTGCCGCTCTTGCCACTCTGAAGCCCCACCTTGCGATGATCATGTCGTCGAGCAGAGCCGCTGCGGCGCAGTCGAAGTTCTCGGCGGCTATCTCCTTCATCTGGGTTTCCTGTATGGGGATCGCTAAGTTGGCCATGATCCTGGCGGTACCGAGCTCGTAGTGATTGGCCGTGCCGGACGTTGCTGCAGCACGCTTGATGGTGTGGTGGCACTCGGGAAGCGTCCAGAAGATGGAGTCCCCGGCGTGTATGACATTGCAAGGAACCTTCGCTTCGGCGGCCGCGTGCAAGATGGTGATGACTTCTCTTGCAACTGTGTTGGCTGGGTAGAGCTCGTCTGCTACCTTTTCCGTGGTGTCGGCAGGCCCCCATGGCGTTACCTTCGAGCGGCAGGTACTGGCACGGTCGGCAGGGTCTCTGGCGTGGTCAGGGTGATGCCAGGTCCTTCTCGGTATCTTGGCATCTAGTGCTGCGACCCCGCCCTTCAGAATCCTGTCACGCGTGATCTGGAGGTCGCGATCTGAGGTCGGTGCTTCGCAATCGTTGCTGGTGTCGATCGCGCGGTAGTCCAGGCCGCTCTCGCTGGTAACCCTGCACGTTGCCATGATTTGTTGAAGGTCTCCTGGTTGCCGAGGGAATTCGGTGATGAAGACTACTTCTTGTCGCTCTCCTGAATCGGGTGTATTGGTAGCTGCGGGTTGTTGCTTAGTCGGCTGGATGGCGGCGTAGACCTTGGGGAAATCGGCGACGTCTCCAAGAGTGGGAGCGGCGTGGTGTCGATCTTGTAGGCTGGTATCTCGCTGAAGGTCGCATGTCGGCCACTCTTCTTGTTGGTTGCCGTGGTCGTAGCGATGGCACTGAGGTTGTCGGCGATTTGCTGTTCGGTGAGCGGTTTCATCGTCATCGTGCACCAAGCGTACCAGGACTTGCGGCAGCGGTGGGTTGCCGCAAGATGCCTCAGGAGCCTCGGTCTGGCGTGGAACTCGGTCTGACAGCATCGACGCGCAGTGCCCGTCGCCCGGCGTCGAGGGTTCTCGCTGTCGGGGTGGTCTCTGCCCATGTGTACCGCCATGCCCTGCTCGGTGGCTGTGCGGCCGCAGACGTAGCAGATGTATCTAGTCTGGTCGGTGCCGTCGGCCTGGTCGATCTCTGCGGTGCTCGAGGGGGTCGCGGGCACCTGGGTATCCTTCTGGAACCTCTCAAGCTGGGCCTGGTCGCGCACATAGAGCAGGTGTGCGTTGGTAGCTGCCTTGGCCGCGTTGGTGCAGTGTATGGGCTTCAGGCGGGCCCAGGTGATGATGTCGCCGTCGTGCTGGCCCTTGATCGGCCACCTGTCTCGTGGGAGATGTTTTCGGGAAAAGGCGAAGTCCTGCTTGATCATGTGGCTCCAGGTCCCCTTGCGCTGCCGCTGACTGTCCAGAGGCTGCAGTAAGATCGCGGGCGCGTGGTTCAGGAGCCAAAGTAAGTACCGCAGTCGAGCTGCCGTCTGGTGCGTGTCGGAGTCGAGAACGTCACTCCTCGCTATCGCCTCGCTGGTAGCGATGTGCTTATCTGGGGTTTTCGTCTTGGGCAGGGAGGCGGCCACTCGGTAAGGGCCCATATATTTTGCGGCGATGTGGTTGCGATCCTTCTTGTTCAATCCATTCCAAACATGGTGGTTGTAAGTTTGCGACGAGGTAGAGAGCGCGTGGACGGATTCCACTTGGCCTTCGTTGAGAGCTTTCTGCGGCGGAAGATTTGCTTCTCCATCGGGCGCGCTGAACCAAGCGTTCTGTTGACCCTGAGGCAAGCTTCAGGGCCCATGACCCCGCCCGTCGCGATGATGGCCCCGAGGGCCTTCTGCTGGGTCAAGAGCGACACCTTGATGGGGAGGCCGTCGAGCTCGATGAAGGTAATCTTGTCTTTCGCTTTTCTCTGGCGCTCCATTCTGGCCCCGCTGACAGGGCATGACGATGGCATTCGTCTTGTCTGGGTGCGGCTTAAGTCCGTACTGGTATGCTGCTGTGCACAGTCTGGTGGCTAATAGTCGCGCCGTCTGGATCAGGTCACTGGCGTCGAAGGTCGAGTAGTAATCAGCGAGGTCGTCGACGAAGAACATATTTCTGAGCGCGCTGCCCTCGTGAGGCGCCGCCGAGAATAGTGGGTTCTCGCAAGCCTCGATGTCGTGGCCACCTGCCGGTTGGTTGTGGTCTGCGCCGGCGGTCGCTGCTTGGTCGATGGCTCTCAGCAGGATGGCGAAGTGCGTGTGTTGAAGGGGGCGTCGGAGTACGGCGCGCCAGGCCGAGTGCCGGTCAGTGGTAGTTGATAGTGCTTGGCGCGGTTTGCCGTCATCCAGGTGGAGGTGTGGCGGTCGGCGATCACGTGGCCGAGGTGCTCGTGGCCGATGTGTTGGTTGCTGTGTGCAGGGTGCTGTAATCGGTCCTCCAGCGAAGGCTTGAGGAAGTCAGGGATGTCGGTCCGTTCGATGAGGTCAATGAGTTCGTCGGGTGATGTCGGCCGTTTCGCACAGAACTCCCCGGCTCCGGAGTGGAAGGCCTCCCTGAGATCAGTGAGGTTATGATGCAAGATCTGGCCCTTCGTTGGCAGTCAGTGATAAAGGCCAGGGAGGTGCGGGTGATAAAGTCGGTCGCCATCTTAGGTCGCGCTCCACACTGCGTTGCTTCCAGCATGTTGGGTGACAGGCCCTTCGCCCGCGAACGTAGGAAGCCGCTATGCATCTTCCCGGTGGTGTCGTTGAGCAACATGCCACGGCATGATTTCTGCTGTTCAACAACTCCCTGTCCTCTGTGGAAGTGGGTAGGGTATCCGCCCTTGGCGGCGACGGGATCGGCGCTCTCGATGTGTGTCTTGACGAGGACGGGATGAAGGAGACGGGCCCTCCCTTCAGGGTCTGCTCTGGACATGTCGTCGGCGAGCTGGTCTGGCCCCCCTCGTCTTCCTCGCTTGGCGGCGGCCAGCTGTCTAGTGGGCTGGTGCTTCGGAATGATGTTCTGGATCTTCGGTGCTGGTCGAATAGTGCTGGTTCTCATGTTGTAGTCTTCGGCTACTCCTTCGGCGTCCGTGGGCTTTCTCATCTCGGTCCTGCCGCGCTATGCCAGGGCGTGGTCGGCGATCTCAGTCCTGGTCGCGAGAGGCTTGCCGTCGTCGACGCTGCGGATGATGGGCGTGGGCGGCTTCTTGGGCCTTCGCCCTCCGAAGGCCAGTAGGCGCCTGGCATGCAGGGCCTCTTGTCGCGGGGCGCGGTCGTCGACGGCGGCGCTCATTTGTCCGGCGGTCTTCTCGAGGAAAGCGTCTCGATCTTCTTCGATCCACATCTTGAGCAACGGCTTGGTCGCTCTGAGGAACTGCGCGATGGCGTCGTAAAAATGCCGGGTGTTGTCAGCGCCGCTGGATGACGCTGCCTCCGCTCTCGGCGCCGCTCGATCTGCTTGGTGAACGAGGGAAGGGGTGTTGAAGATGACGGAGGCGGCGATGAGTTTGGCGTAGTCGTTGATACCGGCAAAAAAAAAGCGCCCTCTGGGCCAGGGAGCATGGCGTCGCGCGAGAGAAGCTTCGCGGTGTATCGGAGCCGTTTCGCACCGTAGGGTTTCGTGGCCCCGTTCTTCTTTACGACGCGGGCCGTCTTGAGCAATGAACGGCGAACTCGTAGAAGATCGAAGGGGCGCTTCGCGATGTAAGCCTTGTGAGGGGCACGGCCATGGAAGAGGAAGAACTCGAAAGCCGCCTTCGTTATCTTGGCGGTGATGGTTGCGAGGTGCTCCTTGATGTTGGTGTCCCAGGACGGGCGCTGGATGCCTTGGAGCTTTTGGCTGAACTTCTTGCGGCAGGCGTTGTCGGCCAGCTTGGACTCGTCTAGCTTCGGAACGCCCTTGGTAAACGAGGATGCGATCTCGTGGCGACCTCCAGTTTGACGGGGTAGTGGTCGTCCTTGGCGTCGGGGCCACAGTCGTCGTCGATGCCGTAGAGGGCGGAGCACGCTTCAATCGTATCCAAGTATCCCCTCGGAACGATGACGCAATCGATGCGGCGAGGGTTCTTGCCCGAGTGCCATGCGCGGTGCTCGGCCCCAGTGCTGACGAACGCGTTAGCGGCCACGAGATGATTGGAAAGGAGCAGCTCGTGGAGACGTTTTCCGTTCGGATCCTCTTCCTGCTGCATGGACTGGTCACCAATCGCCGCGCCGGTGATGTCGCCTGTTATGGCGTTGGCGTCTATCCGGGTGATTCCGATCTGGAACTTCTCAGTCGCCTCGGTGAGCCTCTTCCGAAAGCTGGTCTTCTCCTCTTCGAGGGCTTTGGAGCGGGGGGCGTGGGCGACTGCCAGCACTTGGGAAAAACCAGGCGCGCTCGCGCGGATGATGGGGAGCCCGGGGTCCGGCTCGACAATAATGAACTGGTCGGGCTTGAAGAATAGCTCTTCCTTGCCGCGCTTTCCGCAGGGCTTGGTGAGGAGGACGTGGAGCTCGCGGCCGTGATTGCGTCCCATGTGGCCGCTGGAGATGACGCGGTAGCTGTTCGCGTTGGCGCAGGATGCGTCGTTCTCCTCCTCGGAATCGCGTATACCTCATGGCGCCGTGGCCTCCCGGGTGCCAATGATGTGTAGGTCCTCGTCGTATAGGCTGGCCATGGTGGTCTTTAGCCTATTGTTTGTCTGATTTGTTCGCTTCGCTCCCTCTTAAGGTTCCCAACCTGTCTGTATGTTGAAGGTCGCGATGTTGATCTCGGTATCTGTCCTCCTTTCGCTGGATTACATCGGTTTGTGGAAGTGGCGGACGTCTGGACGTTGCTCGCAATGAGATTGCCCTGCCCGAAGGTGGGGTAAGCCCCCCTGGCGTTCTGGTCCGCATCGAGCAACAACTCCCAATATCGCTGGCGTTTGCCGTCCATTATGCTCGCCCAGTCCTGCTGTGGAGCTGGAACTCCGGCGACGCGACCGCGGCTGGCGGCCGCGTCGGCGACTTCGTTCCAGGGGTTGCGCTCGCTTGCGAGGACGCGCTGCAGGTCGATCTTCTGGCTGACCATGTCGCAGTGGAGACAGAGCGCCCTAACAAGGTCGGGGTCGTGGTCTGCGAAGGCCATCCGCCACCCGCTTCGCAAGCTGCAGCGCCCCCAGCGAGTCGGTCGAGATTGCGGTGAATCACCCAGGCGAGAGCCTACGCGAGCGCAGTAATCTCGACGGTGGTGGTGGTCTCCTTGTCGCGATTGCCCTTCTCTGCAATATCGGTGCTGCTCTTGTGCTTCCCAACGATTGCCCCTTGAAGCGTGACTGCAAGGTCGTCGTCCCCAACAATGATTACGGCCCTGACGTCGTCGTTCGGCTTCTCGGGGTGCTTTGAGCCGTCGGTGAGGAGGTGGAACTTTTCGTTTGGCCGCGGCGGTCGCGGCGGATGGTGGCGCAGCATGTACTCGGCGGTCTCATTGAGAGGCACTCGTCGTGGAATTCGAAGATGAGCGTTGGGTGCGGGGGGGGGGGGGGGGGCTTGCTGCAGCGTTTGTCCGATGGTGGGTCTAGCGCCAAAGTCGACTCGGTGCTGCTGCTGTGGTATTGGTGATGTAGGTGGTAGCTGCTGGTGGTCGGGTGCAGATGGTATCCTGGCGTTGGGTGCTCGAAAGGGTTGGGTCGCTTTTCCCATCACCGTCCTCTTGGGGGTAGCTTCCGTCGGATTCGGCAATGGCAGAGGGTTAGGTGTAGTCGGTGCGGCTACTCGGAATGGTCTCATGGCATGTCCTCGTTTGGGCTGCTTGTGCTGGCCTGTCGGTCGTTGGTCTGTGAGTTGGCTTGGGGCGTCGAGTTGGGCGCTGCCGATGTCGACCCCGATGCCGCGAGTAAGGTAGCCTGTCTGCTGGATCGCGATGAGGTTGTTGTGGTCGACTCGCGTGGCATTTGAGGTTCGGTCGCGAGTGGTTACTGCCGCAGCGTCGTTGGTGCTGTAGGTAGGAGGGGTAGAGGTTGTTGCTTGAGAAGGTTGTATGCGGTTGCTCTTGCATGTCGTGCTGGGCTTGTAGGCTGGACGGCGGTGGTTGCTCTGATGTGGGGAGTCGAGAAATGTAGTTTCGACGTCAGGGAAGTCGCGCGGGGTAAGTCCGTTGCTGAAGGCCGCTGGTGGGCCCTAGGGAGACCCGCTAGGCCTCCTAGGAAGCGAAGTGGTTGGAGCTTGGTGGCCTAGGTGGCCCAGCTCATGTGAGTCTCCGCAGGACGCGGGTCGGCCGGGCATGATTGGGCGCGGTGCCTCGCCCCTCGCTGGTCGCGCTCGCGGGGAGGTGGGCGCCTCGGGCTCGAGACAGCCGTTGTTGCTGGCCCTGGGGTGCCGCCAGGGTCCAGCTAACTCGTCGCCGTGATGCTGGTCTTGGTGCAGTACCTCAGCTGGAGGCAGTTATTGCTGCTGCTGCTGCAGGCTTTGCTGCGGCCGGCGTCGATTGGTCTCCTTGTCGGGAATCTCGAAGGGACTCCTGGAAGGGATAAAGGTGGCGTCTGCTGGCCCTGGGGTGCCGCCAGGGTCCAGCTAACTCGTCGCCGTGATGCTGGTCTTGGTGCAGTACCTCAGCTGGAGGCAGTTATTGCTGCTGCTGCTGCAGGCTTTGCTGCGGCCGGCGTCGATTGGTCTCCTTGTCGGGAATCTCGAAGGGACTCCTGGAAGGGATAAAGGTGGCGTCTGAGAGCCAAAATGGCCAGTCGCCTGGCGACTTCCTTGGCACGCGGGACGGTCGACACGTAGGGCGCTCGATGTCGTCGCTCTTGGTGGCCGCGCCCTCGGAGTCACAAGCGCCTCGGGCTCGCTGGAGCCTTGTGGGTGCGCGGCGCTGGGGCGGGCCCTGGGGCGCCCAAGGTCCAGCCGTCGCCTTGTCGCGTTGATTGATGCCTGAGTCTCAGGCTGTCATCGTCTGGTCGCGTAGCGGCTCCTGCTGGGCCAGGGGGCGGTCCTTCTGGTATATCTCGCCCATGAACACCGCTCGTGCCCCCCCTGGCCTGCTGCCGTTGCTTGTCGCGACAGGTGGCCCCTGGCCGCGTGGCGGCCTCTGCCGGGCCAGGGGGCGGCTCCCCTGGTTTATTTCGCCCAGAAACACAGCTTGCGCCCCCCCTGAACCGCCGCTGATAGCTGTCTGGCCCAGCCGAGGGTTGGCCCCCCAGTCCAGCGTGGGTCGCGGGGCAGTCTTGGCCGCAGCTTGAATAGATAGCCCACTCTCGGGTAGCGCTGCTTGGCCTTGAACACCTGCCTGTCATGGTGATGCTAGGGCTGAAGCGTACATGTTTGGGATGATCGGCGTCTTGCTTGTCCTTGGTGGTCTGTGTCGCGGTCGGCGAGGTGCGATCTCCCTAGCGATCCTCGCCGCGGCTGGTGGCGCGCCTGGAGGGGTCGTCGACGTCGGGGCCGACCGTGACTGAGCCTCTGGTGATTCGCCGTGCGCTCAGCCCAGTGGTGTGCTGAAGACTGCGGGTGAAACCGCCATGCCTAGCGCCTGGCGCCCGCGTGAAGATGCTGCTCTGCTGGGCCCTCTCGCTTCCCCCATGCGAGATGCAGCGGCCGAGAGGCTGGCCCGCGGTCTGCTGACAGGTGGCAGCAGCTGCGGAGGATGGGTTGTCCACGGGCCGCGTGGCTGATGGCTGGGTCGAGGGTTGGGCGGGCGCGGCGCGCTGTCCCCGAAGCATGCGCCAGATGGTTGGAGGGAGGGTCGCCGCGGTGATACAGGCGCGTCGCGGCAACGCTGCGCGAGGCGATTTCGCTGGGCACGTTGACGGAGTGGTCTTCTGGTGCCTGGTTTGGCCCTGCTTCCTGAGCCAGTCGCCCCCCCGGAAGTTCTGGCCCAGCTAGTTTCCTGCGCGGGGGTCGGAGCGGGCCTCGCTGCCGTCGATGAAGGCAAGGGTGCGGTCTCCAGGAACTGCAAATCCGTCTCCAGCGTCGCGGCGCGCACTTTCTTGGGTTGCGTCGCTCTGGTGGTCGAAACTCCTTTCCGCGGTGCCGTCCGAGGGGGCGGCGCTGACCTTGCTCTGTCGGGCGTCCCCAAGTGGAACCTTGGAGGTGGCTGGATTGGTGACATTGGTGCTGCGGGTGGGATGTCGGAGAGTTTTGCCCGTTGGGGCGTTCATAGGGGGGGGGGGGGTCGACTTCGTCGCCTGATGTGACGTCGATCAAGATTGTTGTTGTGGGCTTGCCCGTTCTTGTCGCGCTGCCGCTGGTGCGAGCGTTGGGCGGCGGGACAGAGCCAGGCCGGTCGAAGTCGGGGGCGGGGGGGGGGTTGGGGGGGTTGGCGGGCGGGCCTTTTGGCGCTGGTTGCTCGGTGGGAATAGGTGTGCACGGGGTGGCGGGTGGGAGCGGTGTTGGAACGGGCGAGGGGTAGTCGTCTTCGGCAACTGGGGTCGGGTCAAGGTCGTCGTCTTCGCTTCGGATGGGGGTCCGAATGCCTGCGTCGTCGTCCCTGTCATTCGCCTTGTCATCTGTGCTCTTTGCTGGGATCGTAGGTGGAGACATCGGTCTTGTCGCAGTAGCTGCCAACCCAATGTCTCGCCGTCCCCATGCATCAGAGTCGGTGGTGCTGCGGCGTGCGGCGCTGCTGTCGCTGCCTCTCAGCTTGGGGTAGATGCGAAGCCACTGGCGTCGCTGTCGGTGGAACCAGGAGATATGAGATGAAGAGCTGCTTCACCTTCGTTCTTGATCTGCCAAGGCTGGTCTCTTTTCTCCTTCGCAATCCTGTTCCCTCAGCTGCATGTCGATTTCGCGCAGAATGTCCGCGTCCAGGTCGGTCCCCCAGTGATGGGCCCTTTGAACATCACTGTGTAGCTCTTCTCGTTATTTAAATGTATCTGGCGATGCGTTCCTCCGTCTCGTACTGGTTGACTTCTGTCGCTGCTTTCTCGGCGTTCATGATAAACTCTGGGACTCGCACCATGGCGATCTCCTTATCATATTGGCGCTGCTCCTGGACTGCTCTACGTCGGTGCGCCTGTAGTTGTCCGTGTTCCTCGAGAAGTGATTCGTTGGCTTTCTGCATCTGGTTATACTCGTTGTTCGCCCTCTCATTGATTTCAAGTGTAGCCTCGGCGTTCTCGGCGTGGAGCAATTGCGCCTGTGCCTGGCACATCTTGTTGTGCGGATCGAACATGTGTTGCTCGTTGGCCCTCATCATGTAGCTGATCTGCCCCTCCCGATATTCCTGGGCCTGTCGGCTGGCTCGGGCGAGCCCTGCTGCGTGGGCGAGACTTTCTTCCTGCGCTGTCAGGTCTGCTGCGCGCGCCCAACGCGCTAGTCGCATCTCCTGCTCGAGGTGTCGCTGGTGGTGGGCGGCCGTCTCAAAGGCCTCCTGATGCATCATCCTCATCGACTTTTCCTGGGACTGGATCCTTTTGCTGAGCGCTCCGATTAGTTTGGCAATGTCCTGGTCTTTGGAGGTCGTCGATGCTGGTGTTGAGTCCTTCGCCGAGGGCTGTGGAGACCTTGGTCGGTTCTGATGAGGTTCGCGACTCCTTTGCCTGCAGGGCGCCCTCTGTCGCCTCCCAGTGTCCTCTGTCTTCTCGTCGCTATCATCCTCGGAGTCGGCGTGATGTGCGGACTCCTCTCTTTCATGTTGCTCCTGCTTGGCTTCGGCGATGATCTCCTTGAGCTGGCTGATGCGGCCGAATGTGTTCTTCTCCCCCTGGGGCCTGGCGTCGATCTCGGCATTCGGGGTGATGTCTCGCACTGATCGCCTCGAGCTCTTCTCTGTAATTCTTAAGCCTGAGTGCCGGCGGGTCGATCAGGGCGATCATGGCTTCCGTGATGGCGGCCTCGGAAGTGAACTTCCTGTCGTCAACGTTGGCTGAGCGGGCCCCTGCTATCCGGTCTGCCAGGCGTGCTACTCTATGCTGCTGGGTGTGGGCCCACATGCGTCGTGGATCGGGATCTTCAGGTGGCTCACCATAACTTGCATGTGTACGAGAACGCGCCATTGTGGCCTGCAGGATGCCTTCAATAATCTCCTTCTGCTTCTTGGAGAAGCTGAACGGGTCTATCCTGATGTGGTCTCTCTGCTGGCTACCTTAGTCTTTTTTCTTCAGCGTCTGGCTTTTTTCTCGAAAATGATCGGCGCGTGTTCCATCCATTTCTCCACCTCCAGCTCTGCGATCTCCAAGGATACGGTCTTTCACCGACGGCGGGACCTGGGCCAGCGGCTGAAGACCCTTCTCCTGTCCTCCTTTCCGCTAGTCCCCTTTGGTCCCGCCATCCTGTCCAACGACCCTGCTGCGCCATCACGATATGCTGGTGGCGCTGGGGCTGCTGGGGCTGCTGGGCGCTGTGGTGTTGCTCCAGGCTGCTGGCGGCGGCCGCCAGTCTGATGAGCAGCCTGTCTTGTCCGCGCTGTGTCCTGGCGCGGCGGTGCCAGGTTTCTTCCTTGGTCCTGGGCGTGGCGGTCGAGCAAACCGCCGCGGCTGCGGCGCCTCTTTGTCTTCTCTTCGATGGCTCCGTGGCCAACGAGCCACGACCGACGGGGCGACCGACGACGAGCTAAGCCGCGACGGTCCCAGCCCCTCCTTGCGCCAAAATGGCTTGAGCCAAAATAGTTACGGACCATCTTCATCCTCGTCCTCCTCCTCATCCTCCGCCTCGTCCTCATTATCTTCCCATTATCATCATCATCCTTATCCTCATCCTGATTCTCATTCTCATCCTCCTCCTCATCCTCATCCTCATCCCTCCCTCCTTCCCTCTGTCCCTCCCCCCTCCCCTCCGAGCGCCTGGAGGTTTTCGACCTCTCCTGCCAGCCGCCGGGCCGCCTGCACCTCACGCAGCAGCTCCGCGTGCTCCCCCTGGAGGTCCCGGCAGCGCCGCTGCTCGGTGTCGAGCTGCAGCCGCACCTCGCCCAGTTGGCGGTCGTGCGCCTGGCACGAGGTCGCCCGCTCTGCCCCGAGATCCGGTGAGATCCCAGCCCTCAGCCAAATCTCCGCCCGGAGATCCAAAGTACGGAAAAAAACGATACCCGTCGGTCGGGAGAAGTGAGTAGAAACATGAAATAGGAAGGCACTAACAATAGATTCGGCTTCCGCCCGTCCACTGAAGAGAACAGGCAAAGGTGAAGCCACTCGATCGTTGAAGTAGGCAGGCTCCGAAAGTAGATTGGAATCTGCGCGTCCAACCGTACCGACTTTCAACAACCGATGGGTACGGAGGCGTTTCGCTGGTGGCGGCCTGTAAAAGCCCTCGCTGGGCCCCGGGACCGTGATCGGGGACGTCCAAATGGGGGGCGCTCAATAGGGAGGTTCGTAAATCATGTCCCGAGGCATGTGCCGCGCGCCCGAGAGGGGGCGGAAGCGAGAGGGGGCAGGCCTTCTCAGAAAGCGGCGGGGCTTCTCAGAAGGCCGGCGGCCCCCAGCGCCTTCTGACAAGGTCTGCCGCTTCTCACCTCCCCCCGGGCGCGCCGCTGAACATCTCCGGCGGTGTGGTGTTCTCAATCTGGCGGGCTTTCGTTGGTTCTGTGGCCCCCGGCCCGGGGATGCCGCTATCGGGCCCCAGGGCCATGAAATACGTATCCGGGGCGAGAAGCTGCCTCTGGAATTCAACCCTCGGGGCCCTCAAAGTGACGACAGTTCTAAGGTTCGGCTGGCCCCATCAGATTGGTAACGTGATCTGAAGGGTCCCATCGAGAGGGGGCTCCCGCCTGAGACATCCTTTCAGTTCGCTCGCAGAGGTTCCCGCTGCGATCCTCGGGTCCTCGGGGCCCCAGAGGTGACGACAGTGACGGAAATATCCTCTCAGTTCACTCACAAATGAAGTTCCCGTTCGGGACTTGCCACACATTCGATCCTCAGGGCCCCAGAGGCGACGACAGTTACAAGACATCGGGTGGGCCCCCTCGGATTGGTCAAAATATTTGGGGAGCCCAATAAGGGGATGGGGTTCCTGCCTGAAGCAGTTCCCCGCGATCCACTCACACCCAAGGCCCACGCTCGATACTTCCTCCAGATCCACCTCGGGAGCGCAAATGACGACAGTGTTCGGGTGACCCCCCCTTGGATTGGTAACGTGAACTGGGGGCCTCATACAAAGGAGAGGGCTCCCGCTCGAGCCTCCCTGGGAACTCACTCGCAGGCAAGGATCCTGCTCGACTTTCTCCCTATGGGTGTGTCATGATGACTGCGGGCGTGCATGAGTGTGCGCGCGAAGAGAATACATGAGTGTATGAATATGTGGGCGATGACGACGATGGTGCTGCCGATGACGGCGATGATTCGGATGATGGTGGTGATCTTGATTGGCGATGCGTCTGATTCTCAGCGTAGCTCTTGCGCGCCGAAACCCAAGCTAATCTGGATAACAGCACAGACAGAGAGAGAGAGAGAGAGAGAAGGCGAGATAACAACCATACAGAGAGAGGGGAGAGACAGAGAGAGAGAGAGAGAGACACACACACACATCATGTGAATATATATATATATATATATATATATACACATACCTGTATATATAGAGAGAGAGATATAGAGAGTGAAGGAGAGAGAGAGAGAGAGAGAGAAAGATAAGGAAAACACATAGCGACACACATATATATATATATATACATATGTTTATATATACATATATAAACATATATACATATATACAAGACTGCAGTGGCGCTTCGCGTCATGCACCTTGGTCCTTGAAGCTTGGTACGCAGGCGGAACAGCAGGGAGGTCGAGCCGACAATTTAGCGATAGCTCCTTGTTGCCTTTGCTGGCATCGCTGCTATAATAATGTTATTCGTTGTCCTTCCTCCATGCTTCTGTTTCCTCATGTTCGCCATACCCTGCGCAGTTTCCCCATCCTCCTCGGCTCTTTTTGCGGAGGCTCCTCCTTGGAGAGCCTTTGGGGGCCTCGCAAAAGTTATGTCAAGCTTTCTTAAGGCCTTCTGGAGGCCTCTCGGGCGTGTTCTGGGGGCCTCTGGGGGTTTCCTCGGGTCGTCCTGCCTCCAACCGCGGTCTCCCTGAACGACCGGGTCACGATTTGGAATGCTTCGGAGGGAGTCTTGGGTCAATCTTGGGCCGCCATGGGGCTCTCTGAGGGCCATCTTGGACCCCTGTTGTGCCGTTTTGGGGCTCACTTGGACTGCCTGGAAGCCCTTTGGAATGGTTATGGGGCGATCTTAGAGCCTCCCAAGCGGTTTCGGACGCCCAGAAGACCGCCGTCTTGGAGCGTCGGGAAGCCCAAACGAGGAGAACCCCAAAATTCACCAAAAACCGAAAGAAAATCAATGATTATTCCCTCCTGCCACGTTAACTGTCCGAGAGGAGGGAGGGCCGTTTTCTGGCGACGACCGTGAGCACAGCCGCAGGCTCTCCGCCCGCGTCGAGGGTCACTCCAAGGCGCGGGGCTGGCACCTGAACGACCCTCCGACTGACGGAGGGGGCGGTGGGGTGCGGCTTCATTAAAACGAGATGTGGGGTGGGAGGTGGAAAAAGCACAGCTCTAAGCACAGAAGGCTGCGGAAGAGGGGAAAGGAAGGAGGGGGGGGAAGCCAGAGCACTACGGCCTAGGGGGGAATATAAACGTTTAGGCTTTGGCCAAACGAAACCATATTCCCTCCTGCCACGTTAACTGTCCGAGAGGAGGGAGGGCCGTTTTCTGGCGACGACCGTGAGCAGAGCCGCAGGCTCTCCGCCCACGCCCGTCCCGGGCCGCTCCCTCAAGTCTAAGCCACCGCCGACCTCCAGTGGGCAAACTGCTCACAGGCAGGGGGCGGGGTCCCACGAAACGAATAAAAAAGGGGGCCGCGGGCCAACTCCGCCCGCGCAGGGGTCACCCTGCCCGCATCCTGTGCAGCCGCTTAACACGTTCATGACTCGGCGGCCGGCGCGCGTGCAGGGGGGCCCAAAAACTCGGGGCCACCCCTCCAGAGGGAGGGGGGTCCGTGATGAATTCATGGAGAGGGCCACCCGCCTCCCGGACGTCCGCACAAGGCCGGGTCCGGCTCAATCCGTCTGCTGCAGTATCGCCCCCGCCGGGGGCTCCGGGGTCGCCTCCCGTGCACGGCTGGTAGGGCCCCCCCCCCTTGCCCCGTGCGTCGGTCTCCCCAGCCTCGCGGGGGGAACGGGGCAGCCCGCCCCGGGCTGGTCTCGGGGCTTCTGCCTCCGGCCGGGTCACTTCCAGGCTCCTCCGCAGGGCTGCCTCCCTCGTCTCCTGCAACTTCTCCATGACCTCGGGGATCCTGTACTCCCTCCCGGTGGACGGGTTGGTATTGGTCTGAACGCCTTCCCCGAACGTGTCCTTCAGGTACTCCTCCGCGATCCGCCCGTTGGTCTGGCCCAATCCCGCCTGGGCCCTGCGGCTGAAGTCCCCCAGGTGGAACAGGCGCTCTCCCCCGGGGGAGGAGGAGGCCCCCGCCCTTTGCTCGTCGACGAGGATCTCCACCAGGACCTGCAGGACGCTGCGGAAGCCGCCACCCATCGGGGCTTGTAGCCACGCGTCCGACCAGAATAGCTCCCGGGTCTCGAAGGTGTCCTCGGCCGGCGCCGCCGGCTCCGCCTCCTGGGGTCCCTGGCCCTCGGCCGGGGGTGCCAGCTCGGGCCCCGGGGGCCCTTCCTCCGGGAGCTGGAAGCGCGGGTGCCTGGGCTGGGCGCCCTCCGGGGGCTCGGGTGACTCGGCCGGCCCCTTCAGCCCAGACCCGTCCTCCGCCGCGCCCTGAGCCGGGCTGGCGGCCCCGACAAGGTTGGCCTCGCCCTTCTGGTCCGCTCCCCCTCCCGGCTCCGCGCCCCTGCCTCCCCGCCCCTCCTCAGCGGGCGCGTCCTGAGGCGGTTCCGCGCCCTGATATGGGAGGGGTCTCCCGCCCCCGCTCTCCGCGCCAGCGGGGTGCCCCCCCGCGGCCCCGTCCGCCTCCCCGCCGGCGACGGGCTCCGCGGTCTTCCGAAGCGGCGAAGGGGGGAGGCGTGCCGTTCGGAGCTTTTGCTCATCCCGGTGCGCCCTGAGGTGCTGGGGGACTGGGCCCTGGACCAGGTGCATCAGCCTGTAGACCTCCCGCGCCTCCACGAAGAACAGCAGCATGCGCCTCGGGTGGTAGTAGACCGTCTCCGTGCCTCCCTCCTCCAAGCGGAGCGGGAGGGTGCGGTGGGTGTCCAGGCCCCGCGGGCACCCATCCAACTGGGTCCATCCATCCCCCCCGACCCGAATGGTGGAGTCCAGCCATGCCGCCAGCTCCGGGGGGAAGTGGCCCATCTCCTGCAGGACCTCGGGCTTCCACAGCTCCACCCAGCTTGGGGGGATGGGCGCCTTGATAGTGTAGCCGCCCGTCGGCAGCATGGGGGTGCGCACCCAGTCCGCCGCCATCCCTTCCGGGATCCAGCTGGCCACCCAGTCGTAAGGGTCCTCGTCGGGGTCCTCCTCGTACGCTCCTCTTGCGCTCCCGCCCGACTCCCCCGAATCGTCCTGGGCTTCTCCTTGCGCCGGTCCAGCAGGGCCGGGGACGACCGGCGCGCTCCCGCGAGGTCTGCGGGCGCCGGGGGCGGCTCCTCCGGGGGAGGCTCACCCGCTTCCCGCGCGGGGTCGAGGCCCCCCTCCGCCCGTCGCTGCAGCGGGACCACCCCGGGTCCCAGGGCCGCATGGAGGGCCCCCTCATGATCTCCTTCCTCGAGTAGCTTCTTTGCGGCCTCGGGCCTGGGTGAGATCCGGGGGCCCGACCCCGGAGGCGAACGCGAGGGCGCGCCGCGACTCCGTGAAGAACACCAGGTGAACCTCGGAGTACGACTCCTCCAGGGAGGCCACAAGGTCTTCGTGCGCGCAGCCCCGGGCTTCCCGGTCACCGGGCGTGTCGAGGACGCCCAAGAGGGTGATGAGGCGCGCCCGGAGGAGACGGTGACGCTCCTCGACGTGCTGGGGGCCCGCTATCCCCTGGAGCGTGATCCGGAGGCTG